CCCCCCCCCCCCCCCCCCCCCCGTGACTAGGGGTAGGAAGTATCACGGGTCAAAGGGAGGTAGGCAAGACATAAGGGATGTGATACAGACAAGGCGTCAGCTCTTATCTTCCCCTTCCTAATTCCCCTGTAACCACCATCTCTCCACCTGAACGAGGTCCGGTCTAGAGGCTTCTCCGGACAGGGCTCCGGCGCGGGAACCATGGTGGGTAAGTACGATCCATTTCTTAATATATATATGTATATATATGCGTTTATGCGCTGGTGGTTGTGTAAATAACCCTTCTGCTAGTTTTCTTTGCAGTGTTTCCCGGGACCTGTGTGTTTCTGTCATTTTCTAGGGTAGGTCCTCGGTGAGCACCCCCTCTGCTGGATTCAGAAATCGGGTGCTCGATTCGCAGTGTCTATCTCACTCGTCGATATATATCCAGACGGTACTATAAGCCGGGTTTTTTGGCTTCATACTTCCTGGACCATGCGGCCGGATCACAGGCTTCTGCGGGAGCCTTTTTGATCATCAGGCCCCCGGGCACAGCACTGCAAAATATTTCCTGGATGTCCAGGCTGGGCTTATGCTTTCAGGCTGCCCTGTCTGGTCCACCGTATTTAGGTCGCCCTGAGGGTCCTCCCGATCACCAGGATATCCCCTCTTGCTGAGGCATCGAGCAGGAAGTATAGTTGGTATTTACGAGAATCTTCTTGCGTAATGCTGTCTCAGGCAGTGCTCCCCTCACTTTAGAGAGTTGTATTTGAGCTTGCCTCTCCCATATGGCCCAGTACTTCTGGGTATCTGTGAACATATGCTTGGAAAATTCTAAAATCCATACTATGGTAAGTGCACACGTTAAGCTTTGAGCACTTTCTAAAATCCACATAAGTGGTAAGTGGGCACGTTATGCTTTGCCCACTTTTCTAAAATCCTGTATGGTAAGGGTTACGCGTCATTACCTCGTTCCCTTTCTCTGAGTTGGTTTAGACCCCGGTACCTTGGGCTCCACTCAACTAGTGTGTCTCTGTCGACACACTTTGGAAGCATCACTCCCCTCACCATTGAGGGTTATTGTGAGCATGGTGCTTTCTTTCGAGCGTTTAATTCTCTCTGAGGAGTTGGATTCTTCACTCCATGGGCTGTTCTCGTGGTAGTGTTGAGCAGTGCTCCCCTTTTACCTAAGGGTTACCTGGAATGAGCATACTTTCCTCTGAATTCAGAGTTCTCCTCTCATATGAGAAATTGAGTTCTCTGTTTTTCCAGAGCACCTGGAACCAGCAGCATCAGGCGAATTATGCCCTTCCTCTGCCTCTCTGATGCGCTGAGTGTTTGGCTAGCTTGCAGTACTCTTACCCTTCTGATTCTACAATCACGCTGTAGGTCGAGCCCCCTCTCGTTGAGAGCTGGGTTTGCGCTCCCTCAGCTAAGGTAAACTACTGCTAGCCGTTCCAGCATTGGGACATGCTGTAGGTAGAGCTCCCTTCTCGACTGAGAACTAGGGGTGTTGCTCCCTCAGCTGAGTAACTGCTAGCTGTTCCACCTGTGGAACATGCTGTAGGTCGAGCTCCCTCTTGTTTGAGAGCTGGATGTTTGCTCCCTCAGCTACAGATTTACTGCTAGCCACCCCAGCATTATAAGTCTTAAGATCGGGTTGATACTTCTCAGGCATAGCTTTTTACGTCTCAGGTTACTTATGTAACCATGGTTCCCTGAGTAGGGAACGAGACACTGCGTCCTTGGGGTTTTCTTGCCATGCTGCGGATGCAAGCTTCAGACGAAAAAGTGGATGATGTGTTCTCCCGGCGCCTAATTATACTATAGTCGCACCGGTAGTGACGTCATGGCTGCTGCCGGCCAACGTGTTGTTGGTGTATTTTCAATGTATGCTTCAGACACGGGTCACGACGAGGCGTTCCCCCATAGCGACCCCTAAAGCACGCAGTGTCTCGTTCCGGAGACGTTTTCCCATGGCCTAGTGTTAAAAAAGCAAACAACATGAGACGTTTTATAGCCGATCAAATAAATCGCCCAACGATCAATTAAACAGGCCATAACCATCAACTCTGCAACAGATATTAATATGCAAAGTATAGTGAAACCACTATTTATTAGAACAGTAACAAGATCTGCAGTTTAAGACATTAACTTAAAAGACAAACACAACAAAACACAAGATAGTTATTTTTAAACACAAACAAGACTACTGAAAAACTCTAATAGGTGTAAACTAATCTAACACATAAACACACACTCACAAGTTGCAGAAAGAAAGTGAGGAAAGAATGAGTTTTAAGAGAGTGAGAATATGAAATCCCAAGTTTCTAGCAGCATATGCATATTGCAGCATATCTTAGGCCTGAACAACCATCAATCATTAATTCAACCCTTTCATTGAGTTTTCAGTGAAGCTGTGGGTGTTGCCTAAAGGAAGGAAGTGGAGTACTGTAGGCTGGTCAAAGTTTGAGGCGGGCAAAGACAAAGTAAGAGACTAGCTTTGCAGCAAAACTTATTTAGAAAAACAAGACTCTTGACAGAAAAGAAACAAAGTAAAAGAAAGAAAATAAAAAAGAGTGAGACAAGAATAGATGTTTTTTTATGATGGTAGATGAGCAGCAGGCCAGGAGCAGGCAAGCAGCGTGATCGTTGTGAAGGCAAGGCAAACAGGAGGGTTACTGACCAATTAGACACTGGTTTAGCTTGAGGTGTAGCTATGCTTCTCCTGCCCTCATATAAATCAAAACATTATCTTCTCAGTCACATCGTTCCTAGTTTTCCCACTCTTGTGAAATATAATATATACTCGATTACTATACTGAGAATATGATACATTTTTACCAAGAATTAACTGATATCAACATTCAGAAAAATAATTTTCATTCACATCATACCAGAACCACATACTCACTGTAAACGATTCAGTTATTCATAATGGCATTAATCTTGAATAAAAAACATATTATGTGGATGACAGTCAGTCATAATATGGAATTATTCAAATGAAGTTCTCTTAGCCTCATTTTGTTATGATCTGAAGCATATTTATATATGTAAAGACAGTCTCTGTGGGTTTTAGAGATGATTTTAGTCATGCGAGCAAGGAAAAGGTCAAAAGGGAGTCTGGCTTTAGCTCTTTATCTTGAGTGAGGTAAGTCCCACTTTTGTCTTATGATTTTCTCTGTGAGATTCAGAATGTGTGTCTCCAGACCCGTTTATCTTGGGTTAACTGCTTAAAGTTGACAACGCTGGAGGAGTTCTTACGTTAGTTTATTCAGTCGTCCATGGAGGAGTAACTAGTTAACTCAGGCTTTGTGGTGCCAACTGACAGGTCTCAGTTTTATGGTCATCCAGTGTGAGACTCAGGGCCTTTTGTGGAATTTGGTTCTATGTGCTGTTTCAACACAATTCTGATCAAGTCTTCAGTGTCTGATTCACTCCAAAATGTTAAATCACATACCGACAATATACATGAGGCATGCAGGGCAGGGCTGAGAGCCGCAGGAACCGGTGAACATTCACACAACTTGAATTATTAAATAAACAAACAACAAAAAGAAAAGTAAAGCAGCAGCCCCTCACAGACGACTGCCGCATAAAAAACATAAAGCACAACATGAAGTCCAGGCCTGTCCTCTCCAGTCTTGCACTGTCGTCACTCCTCCTTTTATCCTTCCAGATCTCCTTCTGTGAGACTCGTTCCCACGGCTCTCGGCCCCTGCTCTTCTTGCCACATAAATGCTTAATGCTTCTCTCTGGTGTGAATTCTCATGTGCCTGTTAAAGCTTGTTTGTCGTGTGAAACTGTTTCCACACAGTTTGCATGTGAACGGCTTCTCTCCAGTGTGAATTATCTTGTGCCTTTTAAAGCTTCCTTGTTGAGTAAAACTCTTTCCACATTGAGGGCATGTGTAAGGCTTCTCGCCGGTGTGAATCCTCGAGTGCCTTCTAAGGGTTCCTTTTTCAATGAAACTATTTCCACACAGTTTGCATGTGAATGGCTTCTCTCCAGTGTGAATTGCCATGTGAACATTCAAAGTGCTTTTATGAGTAAAACTCTTTACACACTGAGGGCAGGTGAAAGGCTTCTCCTCTGTGTGAATCCTCATGTGGACTTTAAGGTTTCCATGTTCACTGAAACTCTTTCCACACTGTTGGCAGGTGAAAGGCTTCTCTCCTGTGTGAACTCTCATGTGGACTCTCAGTTTTCCTTGATGGTCAAAACTCTTTCCACAATGTTGGCAGGTGAAAGGCTTCTCTCCAGTGTGAATCCTCATGTGGACTCTCAGTTTTCCTTGATGGTCAAAACTCTTTCCACACTGTTGGCAGTTGAAACGACTTCTAGAACTAGCCTTCTGAGCTCTTTTTTGTAAGGAAGTCTTTGCAGTCTGTGAGCAACTAAGTGATTTTTGTCTAGGTATGAAATCATGATGTTTCTTATACTGATCTTTATCTTGCATTTCATTCAGTTCTTCAGGCTCCTCTTTCAGGTCTAGGGTGAAAAGAGACAAATACAAGTTAACACCCATTTAAACGCAACAGTAGAACAGAAATCAAAGAGTGTCAAACTCAGCTTGTTGAGGGTCACAGTCCTGCAGAGTTCAGCTCCAACACACCTACCTTTGGTTTTCAAGTAATGAAGACCTTGATTTAGGTGTGTTCAGTTAGAGGGGGAGCTAAACTCTGCAGGGTATAAAATATATTTGTTAAAAAAATTATTATTTTTTTTTTACAATGTTCAGATTTGCAGAGAAACAATATCAGTCAGGATTTAAGCCCCATTATAACACAGCAACTGTGCTTATTAAGCTTATACATCACGTCTGTATGATTAAACATTTGCAAAGCAAACAAAAATCACAATATATTGCAATATTTGTAGAATCCATATATAGGATAGAATACATATAAATTCAGCATCCAAATATTGTGATTGTATTTTTTTCTGTGATGAGCTTATCATCCCTTTTTCAAGTAATGAAGACCTTGATTTAGGTGTGTTCAGTTAGAGGGGGAGCTAAACTCTGCAGGGTATAAAATATATTTGTTTACATTTTTTACAATGTTTAGATTTGCAGAGAAACTGTTTTTGTGAACAATATCAGTCAGGATTTAAGCCCCATTATAACACAGCAACTGTGCTTATTAAGCTTATACATCACGTCTGTATGATTAAACATTTGCAAAGCAAACAAAAATCACAATATAATGCAATATTTGTAGAATCCATATATAGGATAGAATACATATAAATTCAGCATCCAAATATTGTGATTGTATTTTTTTCTGAGATGAGCTTATCATCCCTAAATCTTCCCGGCTTATCATTTGCTAAGTCAAGTCAAGTCACCTTTATTTATATAGTGCTTTATAATTGTGTCAAAGCAGCTTTACAGTGTCAGACAGGAAAATAGTTTGTCAATAATGCAAGACGACAATAACAAAGAGTCATTTTTCCAGATAACGTCAGATTATTGATGATTCAGTCATGTCATCATCCAGTTCAGCTCTCTTCCAATCAGTCAAGCGTCCCCAACTAAGCAAGCCAAAGGCGACATTGAGAAGGAACCAAAACTCCATCGGTGACAGAAATGGAGAAAAAACAGCCTCAGTCAGGGGGCCAGTTCTCCACTGTCCAGATGAAACCAGCTTGGCGTGGTTTAATTCCAGGCTGCAGCACAGGTCAGATTGTGCAGGGGACTTGTCTGGTTCTCGTGGTCTTGTGCCGATGGTCGTCGAGATGATGAGGTCTTCACAGGGGATGTGTCTCTGGGGCGCATCTAGTTGACATGGTCTCCACTGACATTCAGGGCTGTAAAGATCGTCTCTAGGTGCTGATTCACCATCTTGTCTGGATATGGACTGGATCTAGGTGTAACGGTTATGACAGGATCCGTATGGCTACGGTTACCTAGGAATAAGAATGAAAGAGACTAATTTTAGCGTAGATGCCATTCTTCTTACGATGTAGTGAGTACATTGGGTGTTATGGAAAGTGTTCCCAGTTCCGGTTGACCTCATTACTGCAGCCTAACAATCCTTCAACGGATTTGAATTATAAAAACTGTGATAGTGTATTATGTGTATGCCAGGTTAACGAGATGGGTCTTTAATCTAGATTTAAACTGACAAGAGTGTGTCTTCCTCCTGAACAACGCTAGGTAGATTGTTCCAGAGTTTGGGCGCTAAATAAGAAAAGGATCTGCCGCTCACAGTGGATTTTGATATTCTAGGTATTATCAAATGGCCAGAGTTTTGAGATCGCAGTGGACGTGAAGGACAATAATGTAATATGAGCTCGCTCAAGTTTTGAGCAGTTAAACCATTCAGGGCTTTATAAGTAATTAGCAAGATTTTAAAATGTATTGGTTGTTCAATAGGGAGCCAGTGCAGTGTTGACAGAACCGGGCTAATATGGTCGTACTTCCTGGTTCTAGTAAGAACTCTGCTGCTGCATTTTGGACCAGCTGGAGTTTGTTTATTAAGCGTGCAGAACAACAATCCAATAAAGCATTACAATAATCTAACCTTGAGGTCATGAACG